TATAGACACTACCAGGCTGAGGAAATTCCCTTCCATCCCAAATTTGTTGAAAGTTATTTGTGTGTGTGTGTTTATTTAATCGCGGGCGGGTGTTCGGTTTTGTCAGGTCCTTTTCTGGGCAACTATTAGGGCGCTCGCCTCCCCGCCCCCGGCCCCACCCACCTTTACTTTTATCATCGCGTATAACAATCGGTGTGCAGATATTAAGCCAATTTTGCATTCCTGGAATAAACCCCGCTTGGTCAAAGATTGTGTCTCTACGGTGTTTGTACCAGGCCTTGCCTGGTCTCTCTACTTTGCAGTCAGAGGACATTGTCCACGAGGCAGGAAATGCCAGAATCATGGTGTTGGTAGGGTGGAGCCGCCAACCTCTTCCAGGGCTGCAACCCTGCTCAAAAAACCACAGCTTCCGTGCCAGGCTCCCATCCTCCCCGCGACCTCACAGAAGAGCCCCTCTGCCCCCGCGAAGCGCACGCAGGGCCCAGACTCCAGCCCGCTTCCCTGTGACCACCATATTTGCGTCCTCACCAATGATGGGGGGAGCCAAGACAGCCCCACCCTCTGCCCATTAGCGGCTGCAGGACCTCCCCTACCTGCTGCTTCCCATTGGTCGGACCTTGGTGGGGACAGTCCGTGCACCGGGTGCACTCAGGGGCAGGGGCAGGGGCAGGGAGCCTGCAGCCTAGGTGGGTGAGGTCCTGGGGTGGACAGCCAGTGGACAGCCACTGGGGGAGGGGGGTTGGCAGGGGGAAGAGGGGGCAGGAGGGGCGGCGCCTGGAGTCCTCTGTCACCGGAGGGCCTCAGCGAGGCAGCCCCTGAGACAGAAGCCTTGTGCTTTGTCTTGTGTGGTGAGCGCCAGGCCGTGGTCAAGCTTCTGACCCGGGCGGTGGCCTTCTTCTGAGAAAGGCCACAGGGAAGAGGGCGGGCTCTGCGGAGGGACATTGCCTGAGGCCACCAGAACCCCACCATGTACCCTCTCTCAGTCCCTTTATCCTCCCATGCCGTGACCCTGGCCAGAGGGGCTCCCCAACCCCTGGTCCAGTGGGTGGGGAGAAGGGAGGTGGGGGCAGCTCCACTCGTGTGGGGGGGGGCGCGGGGGAGGGTCCCCAAGTGCTGGAGTCCCAGTGTCCTCCCAGCTGGGCCTGCATCCACCCAAGCCCCAGGCTCTCTTGTCCATCCCAAGTGGCGAAGGTCCTGGCAGAGAAGGCCGTGGGGCCCTTCCCTGCCCTACGCTTCCCCCAGAAGTTCCTGCAGCAGATTCCTTTCTGCATTTCCAGTAGAGTGCGCCCTGATTAGAAGGTGCGTTTGGCTGTGTTTCACAGACACGCGAGTATTTGAAGCCAAGTGGACACTTTTCTACCTGTCGCCCCTTGAAGGGCCGCAGCTGCCGTTATTCTTTGGTTCTACCGGGATGATCATATGGATTTTTGTCTTTGTATTCATTTTCTATTGCTGTCTCAACAAGTCAGCACAAATTTACAGCGTCAACTTATCATCTCACAGCTCTGTAGGCCAGAAGTTTGGTATGGGCCTTGCCAGACCGGAATCACATTCCTTTCTGGAGATTCTATGGGATAATCCCTTTCCTGTTTAGTTGGGCTATTGGCAGAGTTCAGTTCCCTGTGGTTGCAGGACACAAGTCCCACTTTCTTGCTGTCTATAACCTGAGGGCCATCCCCAGCTTCTAGAGGCCACTAGGTTCCTTGGCTCCTAGCCCCTTCCTGCATCTTCCAAGCCAACAGTGGTGGCTTGAGTCTTTCCCACATGGCACTTCTCTAACCCACTCTTCTGCCTCCCTCTTCCACGTTTCATAATTTATGTGGTTAGATAATCCAGGCTAATCTAGGTACTTTAAGGTCAACTGATTAGAGGCCATATAGTGTCACCTGTAACTTTAATTCCCTATAGCAATGTATTCTCAAATCCTGGGGATTAAGACACAGGCAACTTTGAGGGACTGTTTGTTGTCTACTACACTCTCCTTTTTGGTTACTATGTATGGCATGTTGCATGACTGATTTTTTTAATCCTAAACCGAGGGCATTTTTTCATTGCTTTTAGAGAGTGAAGGGGGAGCGGGAGGGAGGAAGAGAGAGAGACAGACAGAGAGAGAGAGAGAGCGAGCTGTGAGAGAGAAACATCGATCCGTTGCCTTCTCATATGCTCCCTGACCAGGGATCGAACCTGCAACCCGGGCACGTGCCCTGGCCGGGTATCGAACTCGCGAACGTCGTTCTAGCCAACTGACCAGGCAGGGCGCAGGGTTGATATTTTCTTTAAGATTTTTTTTCTTTTTTTTTTACTTTTAGAGACGGGGGAAGGGAGGGAGAAAGAGGGGGAGAGAAATATCAATGTGTGCCTGCCTGTCACACGCTGGGCTCAGGGCCCCAAGGGCATTTAATCCTCAAAAAACTTCCGTAGTTTGTCAAGTCCATTTTACATCCCCCGTCAGGGAGATGCAACCGGGGCGGGGGTGGGGAAGGCAGAAGGATAGTGTCACCCAGACCATGAGCCCAGTAGCCATTTCCTGACCTCTGCGCTCCCGCCCCTGAGGCACTTCTTCCCATAGGAGGACATTCACAGTGTGCTCAGGATGGCCCTTTGGAGGGCGGTCTCTCCTGTCAGCATTCTCCTCCCAGCATGGACCTGGCCTTCCAGGTGCCAGCATCTCCCTGCAGCTTCTCTGCCAGTGGAGTTTGAGCCCCTGCAGAGGTGGCTGAGTCTGAGCAACGTTGGCCATGGAACACTGCTGCTTAGCCCTTTTTCCTCCCCCTTCCTTCCGAGGAGGGCGGAACACCGAGGGTAGCATGGTGGTCTGTGAGCCTGCCCAAAAAGTGTGCGGGTGGCCTGGTGGAAGCCAGGGCCTGTGAGATGAGGGGATTGGAATGGAAAGGCTGCCCAGCAGGGTCGGAGTATTACACAGGAGGGCTGTGCAAATAAGCAAATGTACTGAGGCTACTGGGAGGTCAGGGTCTCCTGCCGGAAGGGGCCATAGACATGGAAAGGTGAATGGTGGCAGAATTCTGGCATGATCCCTGTGCTCTTCTTGGACTGGCACTGAAGGCACTGGGGTAACCTCATGGTTGTCAATAGGCAGAGACCTACGGTCTTGGCTTCTAATCACCCTAGTCTCCAATCAGGAAGACGAGGAATCCTTGGATAAGTGACGGACTGAATAAATAGCATTTTCCGTTTCCAACAAAACAAATCAAAGAACCGTGCCTGAAGCGTGCCAACGAGGGGTTGTTTATACTGACAAAATATTTCTAGTAGGAAGATATAGAGTCAAACCTTTATGCCTCTAACAACATCAGTGAGCCTGGAGGGCAAGGGGAAAGCGAGTAAACAGGCAGACCAGTCCAGGCGGGTGGGGGGGCAGGTTTAATAAGCTAGGGAACTTACACACTCAAGGCATGTCTCGGGTGGCTGCAAGAATCTGAAAGTTTGTATAGAGGCCTTACCTGGGTTCAGTCCCTATACCGTCCAGGTGGTCTCAACACTTTCCTCTCCCAAGGCTCCGCCCTTGAAAAGGCTCTAGGCTATGGGAATGGTGGGTGGAACGTACATTCCAAGGCCAGGGGTGGGAGTAAGAAGCCTCTGATTATCCGGGTCCAGCTCCAGGGCTAACTGGTGGTCACATGCTCTCACTGACTTCCTTCAGCAGGTGGCTGTGGGGTTATAATGAGGTGATGGCAGCAAGCCAACCAGCGCAGTGCGTGGAGCTCCACAGGGCCTCATCGCATGCCAGTTCCCTTCATTTGGTTTTCCCTCCTCAGAGTGATACGGTCTGAGGGCGAATGTCGCACAGACCTCACCAACTCGAATGCTCACAACCACCCCAAAGGCTCCTTACTGGAAGTGCGTGCGTGCGTGCGTGCGTGCGTGCGTGCGTGCACGTGGCTGGCGTGGCCACACAGTTGCTGGTGGAGGAGCTGGGCTCAGGGGGCAGGTCTTCACCAGAATAGGGCGCGCCCGCCTGCCTTCCTCCCTAGCCAGGAAGGGGGGTCCTCCCTCATCAGAGGGCCTTGGAGCTCTGGTCTGATCCTCTCCCATCTTAGCTGTGCCAGGCTACCTGATTCCTGGAGTGGGCGTGAGACCTTCAGGGACTGAACAGGACCATCTGGACAAAGGGGAGGGGAGCTCAGGGCACTGGCAGGGACCTGGGTCCATCCCTCCTGTGGTGGCACATGTTGGGTCTCCTTTGTCAGGGCGCTTTGACCCCGGGGGAGCTCTTGGCAACAGGCGGGGAGTACACCCAGGGCCCGTACCCAGGCTTTGCTCCTCAGTGTGACCAGAATCCTGCGTCCTCAGGACGGCTCCCTCCTGGGGCCTGTGGTCCTGCTTGGCTCTATCCTGGCCACTGTGCCTTTCCCCAGCCCTCCCTCTCTCCACCCTCTGCCCGCCCGCCACACTCACCCCTGCAGCAGCCTCAGAACCACTGGCCTGGCTTCTCCGAGGAGGCGCCGGGGCTCGAGCTCCGACGGGACAGTTAGGGGCTTAGGTGGGGGGACGGGAAGCTTCCGTCCCTGTGGTTGATCTCCTCCAAAACTCTGCACCACCTGGCCGGCAGAGAGGCGATGGGGACCTTGCCACCTGCTGCTGCAGAGGGGCTTCTGGTGAAAGGAAGTGGCGTGTGGACAGACTAGGTCACCTCACTTCCCCAGCCCACCCTTGGCGTTCAACTGAATTAAGCGCTTCCCAGCACCGGGCTCTGAAATGAAGACAGGACCTAGGTTAGGTGTTGGGTTATTCAAACCAAGGCTGTGAGTGGGACGATTGCCACCTGTGGGTCCGGCCTATGCTGCTGCCTTCTCCTCACAGGGGCAGTGGCCAGGTCAAGTGGCGTCTCCAAGCATCTCCTGAAGAGGCCCGACCCACTTACAGCCCTCTGAGGCTGCTCCCCTCCCCCAGCTCCTGGGCCTACGGAGTGATCTCACGTCTGTCCTCCAAGGCTATTGCCCCACAGCAGAAACAGGAGGCCCCCAGTTTTATCCCTTTTATTGAACTTAAGGGTTTTCTTTCCTTTCTTGTTTCTTAACTGAGAGAGACAACGAGATTCGACAACACCAGAAACAAGAACATTCCTCTGACCGGTACAGAGTTACCACACGCGGAAAATTGAAAGCCATCTTACTCAGGCTGGGGTCCCTGATTTTGCAGAAGTTCCGCTGCCTGCCGAACAGACTGCAAATAAATAAAGTGCACTGAGAGCCCGCCAAGCAGCCAGGGCCCAGTGGGGTTGGGGAGAGGTGGGAAAGCAGAAGCAGCTCACTACTCAAGGCCAAAATGGCAAGACAAGCTGTGGCAGGAACACAGGCTAAGGACCGGTCCCTGGCCCCTCCCCCAGTCATTCCCTTAGAGCAGAGACAGCCAAAGCCAGAGCCACGGAGCCTCCAGATGCGGTGCAGCTTCCCAGCAGAGGAGGGGGCCTGTGAGGCCAGGGGCCCCTGAGGCTCAAACGCACAGTTCTCCCTGTGAGACACAAGCACGCATTCAGTGAGCAGCCTCCCTCCTGCCATTCTCAGGCCTTCCTCCTCCCCGGCTGGCCCAGGAAGAGGCTACAGCTGGGGATCGACTCACCCCGAGAGGGCGAGACCTGGGCTTGAAAGGGGCCCATCTCTGTGTCATCCCCAAGAAGGCCCCTGGTCCTCCTCCCACCCTTCACAGCCCCTGTTGCTCTCCTTTCTCCGAGGCTGTCCCCGGAGGTCTACGGATGGAGTCGGCAGGCTGGCGGGCTCCCAGATGTGGTCCTGGGTGGCCAGGGGTGGAATGGAGGAGGGATCACCAGGAATAGGGACTCCCAGGAGACTTGGCACGAGGAAGGAAGCCATCAGGCCCTGTCCGTGAGAAACTGCTGGGGGCATGTGGGAGCCTTGGTCCAGCCTCAGTCCCCAGTCCCTGGGGTGAGCCAGGAGGAGTAATTCGCCCAGGACCGAGACTCCTGCTGGGCAGCTCAGTGGGGCAGATGCTGTGAGATTGGGCCCCTCGGTCCCTGGGGGCTGACCACTCTACTGTGGTTTTTCAGTCCCACGATCTCTGAGTACTTGGGCCCAGAGCAACCGGTGTCACAGCAGACGTGGGGCTGGGGGGTGTGTGATCAGGGCCACAGCCTCTCCTGGCTCCCCTCTGGGCTGCTCCGGCCCATGCCTGTACACCAGTCAGTAGCACACCCCGGGCCTCCAGGACCAGTCCAAGCCCATCTAGAGGGGTCTCCCGTGTGATCCTGGACATCGGGGAGCCGAGCCTGGGGACAGAGAGATGGGGTCATGCATGGTTCTCAGTCCCCTCCGCCCCCAGTTTATCTTTTTACCTTCCCGGTCACATCACGTCCCCAGGAGCCACCCTGTCCTCCCCCAGCCACACTGAGAGGTTTGTGTCCCATTGCTGAGGAGCCCTTGGTCAGACCTGGGGTGGAGGGTGGGAAGACCTGGCTCTGTGGGTGAGGGTCAGCTACCCAGGGGATCCTGGGACTCATCTCTCTTTTGCCCGTCTCAGCTGGGACTATCCTCCTGGTCTTCCCTGTGCCTTCCAACACCACGCCAAGGACAGCTGGTCGCCCACATTCTCCCTACCCGGAATCTCGCTCCCCCTAGGTCCCCTGGGATTCCCCTGCCCCATCCCACCATGCCAGGTCTTCCAGAAGACTGGGGAGCAGGTGGGGGAGTGCAGGCCTAAGGGAAGATTTAGCTTAACCACTTCTTATCTGTGTGACAAGGGCAAGTCTGCTCCCCCCAGAACCCCAGGTTCCACTGTCATTAGGTAGAGAGAGTAGGACTCCCCTGTGGTGTTGGTAGGAGATCTCAGTGCCCAGGCGACACGGTCCTGTCCTTCCCCATGCCGGGCCCAGACCACTGGGTTACCCTACCTCTTGGGGCCTCGGCCGGCAGAAGGCCCTTCATCTCCTCCCCAGCCAGGCCCTTCACTCAGCTGCTACCAGGGAGCTCTAGGGCCAAGGAGAGCCCTTGGGCACAGGGTTGACTCTCGATGAGGGCCAGAGAAGGGGTGAGTCCCCAGCTACCAACACCGGTTCCTGAAAGAAAGAATTGGAAACCTGAGAGTCGCCCCCCTCCCCCACCCAGAGAGGTCCCCGGTTCTCCTAGTGTTGCCTCCTCTCCAAGCCCCTTCTCCATCTGCTCCCCCCACCCCACCCGAGAAATGCCCTCTGCGCAAGGAAATCCCCATTCTCCCAGATCCCTTGGGTCCACAGGGCACTCCTGGAGGTCCTCTGCGCCACAGGATGGCATTCTGTGGCACAGGGAGGGCTGTAGATGGCCGAAGAGCAAAACTGGGGGTGGCGGGCGGGGGGCTAGGGAGAAAGGCATCTTTCCACACTTCCCCGTCTCCAAATGCATCCGCACAGAGGAAGGAGGAGAACAAAAGTGGCAGCAGTAGCCTTTTGAAGCAGAAGGAGGAGAGGCAGGGAGCAGTCCCCTGGCCCTGAACACGCAGTACAGGGAGCTGCAGGGAGCCCTGGGGCCTGAGGGCTGAGAAGAGGACAGCCCTGGCGTTCGGGCTGCCTACCCAGGAGGGTGGAGGGGAAGTGTGGCAGCATCTCTTCTCCTCTAGGGCCTTCCCGTGGGCCACCCCAGCCCATTCCCCTCCATTCCCTCTGGCTCAGGTGACACCACCGCCCGCTGCCGGTGCCTCTGGGGGAAGGGGGGGCAGGAACCGGGCCTTGGGTGGGAGGGGACAGCCGGGTCTCCATGGCTGATGGGCTGAACCGCTGAGATGAGCGATGTCTAAGCTACAGCCGCCCCTCACCCCGTTTTGGAATCATGACCAGGGACTCCGAAGAGCCCGAGGCTGCCCTGCCTGCGTCTGCTGGGCTCCGCAGCTCTCTGGGCTCTCTTCCTCGGGCCCCTTCCACATTTCGTCCGCACCCTCAAGGGTCCTTGACGTCGGAAAGTTACAGCAACCGCCTCCCTCCTGCGCTTAGGTCCAACCTCTCTCGGGTCGCCTACCTTTCCGATCAGGCCGGTCAAAGCAAGTCCCTGCAGCAGCATTTCTTCTGGTTTCCACCTTCTGCCAATGTGAGGCAACAGGTCGGCTGTACTCAGATAATTTTCTGGAACCCGAAGGAACGGCCCCGTTTTGTGAGGTTTTGTGCAATCCAGCACTGGCGGCGACGCGTGTGCGCAGCTCCCGGCTGGGTTCGGGGTTCGGTCGCCTCGGTGGCTCAGTGGCCAGCGTGCTCTCGCGGAGCTCTAGGGTCCGGGGCCCGGGCCGCCCCGCCTCCTTTCCGCGCCGCGTCCCGAGATCTGGGCGGCCCTGCTGTCCGCCCTGCGGGCGGGCGGGCTGGCGCGGGACCCTCCTGCCGGGCCGCTGTGGCCACAGGCGCTCACTCGATCCGCACCTGCAGGCGGACGTTGAGCATCACCGAGGCCACGACGTAGAAATAGGGGAAGTTCATGCGCAGCCGCCAGGCCAGGTCGAAGAAGGTGAGCAGCGTGCGCGTGAGCCCCTTGCAGAACGCGCAGTAAGAGCCACGGGCCGCCGCAGAGCGCGACAGTCGCACTGCCAGGCCCGACAGGGTCGCCACCGCCGCCGCTGCTGACAGAGCTGCGGACGCCGCCATGGGCCTGGCAGGCGCAGACCTCGCCGACCCGCTGAAGCACCAGCGGCCGGCAGGTGGACGAGAGGCCAGGGCGCCCTCTAACCCAGCCCTGGATCTGCTCCTTGGCTGGGTTCCTTTGGCCTCAGCTGCAGCAGCCGCTACCCTCCCTCCGCTCCCCTAGAACAGGTCTGCCCCCTCGCCAGTATGGCTCCGCCCCTATCTTAGCCACGCCCCTTACTGGTAGCCACAGAGCTGCTGCAGCAGTTATAGCCTTGCCCAGGTCACCAGCCCCTCTGCCAAGCTCCGCTTTCGACGCCACTGTGCCGGCAATCCACAGGGCCTACGCAAATGGGAAGGCGCTGCTCTCCTGGAGGTTTGTGGAGGGCTGGGGTTCTGGAGCATCTGGACTGCTGTGCTGATTCTGTACAGAAGGTTCATCCAAAGGGCCCTCCTGTTCACACCACCTTCCAGTGTCTTTTATAGAGGTTTTACAGGTTTAGGAACAACATATTACTACAAACTGCAACTCATCTATACCATGGAGTTAACTCCGAGTTACTGGATGATTTCACCTACAAGTTGTTGCCATAACTTGAGCCCTGTGGGCAGATCACAAAACCAGGAAGAGTCTTAGTTAGGACTGGATCTCAGGTCTGCTGAGCAGTACCCCTTTTTTTTACGGCCAGCTGTATAATATTATCAGGTGTAAGAATGAATATTGTTAAGAAACAAGTAGGGAAGTGAAATATTATGATTTGGTCTGAGTCATCTTAAAACCCCCAATTCCTTCCAAAGACAGCCTTGAATTGCCCAAGGCCCAGGATATTACCCTTTTCACATTCAATACTTCAAGTATTTATTGAACACTGATTATCTGCCAGGCATTGTTCTAGGGGCTGGAAGCAAAGCAGAAAACAACAACAAAAGCCTTTCCATCAAGGACTTAATAATTTAAGTGGGGGGAGACATACTATACATTTCTAAATAAGACTTTTAGCTAGTAACCAGGGACATAAAGAAAGTACAGCGAGGATGTGTGATAGTGTTTCATAGTAGAAAAAGTTTTTCATAGAATTTGGACAGGGAAAGGAACTCTAAGTAGGTTACATTTGAGGTGATATCTGAGGATCTATGGGAAGGTGATAGCTATGAAAAAGCCAGAAGAAGAAGCGTTCAGGAAGAGAAAATAGCAATTGCAGAGGTATTGAAGTCACCCCTGCCTAAAAACTGTTGATGAGGTCTTTGCCTAAGTGCCTTTTAGAGATGATTTTATATATACATATACATATACATATAGCTATATATATATATATATACACACACACATATATATATTTCTGCAAAGAAAGATGAAGGTCAATAAGATAAATGGATATACATGATGAAATCATATACTATAGTTGGAAGAAAGAGACTAGATAGATGTACACACAGCAAATCTACAGATGAAGAAAGGATGAAATCTATAGCAAGGCACCACTTTGGTAAAATGAAAGTACATGCATAGGACATTAGAAGTCAGGTTTTTCACTCTAGGAAAAAGAAGTTACAAATAAACATGAAGGAAAGTGCTGGATCACACTTTGAGTGGGAGGCTGAATAGTCTTTTATAAGCCATTTGTAACTTTTGTATCTATGCAGCTCTTCTTCCTAGAATTATTGGTGCTTGTTATGTGCCATATGTTTTACTTATTTATTGTTTTATCATCTACCCTTTCCTCAAACTATGAGAATGTTAGTTCTACATGGACCAAAGGCAGGCTGGTCTGTTTTGATAGACATATGAGTTATTTCTAGTGCTTGTCTGCCAAAGTACATGGGCAAGATTTTCCCTATGGTATACACTCAGGAGTGGAATCCTGGGTAAAAATGTGTGTGCATCTTTAACACTTACCAGCTAATTCCAATTTGTTTTCCAAAGTGTCAGCAGCAATCAGATGCCTTCCATCAGTGGGTAAGAGTTGCACCACCCATCCTCTCTTATTCTTGATATAACCAATTAAAATTTTTGCCAAACTGAAAGATGTGCATTTGCATGTCATTGTGCATTTAATCTACATTTGTCCAGTTACTGATGCTGAGGATCTTTTCAGTGTCTATTGGCATTTTGGTTTGCTCCTCTAAAAACTGTTTCTTTCAAATCTTCTGTTTACTTTTCTACTGGACTCTTTGGTACAAATAAAAATGATTTTACATCTAACATGCTTTCTAAACTCTCTTATTAATATCTGATTTTTTGTACTTTCTGAGTAGAAAATCCTATTATCTCTAAAGAACGACAGTTTTCTATCTTCCTTTCCAGCCTTATATTGATTTTTATTGTATTACAAAGACTAGTTAAAACTTTCAGTCTCAGGGTCTTCCTTTGTCTTCATCTTGATCTTAAAGGGAATGCTTTCAAAGTCTCACCCTGCATAGTTCTTATTCCAAATAGCTACCTCACTAACTCTCTAACCTCCTTTAAGTCCTTGCTCAACTATTATTTTTCTAATGAAGCTTACTCTAACTACTACCCTATTCTAAAGTACAACTTGCCACCCCTCCTCAACACTCTGGAACTTCATCCCCTGCTATATTTTTCCATTGCACTTATTACTTTCCAGCATACCATATGTTTTACTTATTTGTTGTTTTATCATCTACCCTTTCCTCAAACGATGAGAATGTTAGTTCTGCATGGACCAAAGTTTTTGTCTCTCTGTTCACTGACTTATTCTTAGTGCTCAGAAGAGTATGTTAGTCAACACTCTACAAATAATTAAATAAATGAATAGATGGAAAGTATTTGGAAGAGTATCTGGCTGGCATAATGATATAAGCGCTCAATAAATGGTAGTAGATTAAGAAAAGACTCCATGATAAATTAATTACCACTGGGCTCCATAAAAGGTATTGGCCATCTCCAAAATGTTACATGTTACATGCCCACAAGAACACACACACACACACACACACACACACACACACACACACACACTTCACTCAAGCAATAGCTAATGATTTCTGGGTTTTGTTTTCACTTGGTCCTACTCTCATGCCCATAACCCCTTGCAGGCAAGGTGTGAGTTAGAGTCTGCTCTGAGAGGCACTGCTGCAAGATGTAGAGGCCAGAAAGATGCACTCTTTCACTGGCACTGATGGTGGCAGGCTAGTGCAGGCTTGAGGGGTCGGGATTTCTGCAGCTTTCTTAGATTCCATATTTCCCTGTCAGTCTCCAGCTCTTGCGTATCAGGAAAACTCTGGCTTTGGCATGTCTTCCTGACCTGTTCTGATACTTTGTTGGTACCTATAGCTTTTGACCTTAAACAGATTAGCCAGTATCAGCATCTACTTTCAGCATTAGATCCTTTCCTTTTTAAAAAAGATTTTATTTATTTTTTTAGAAAGAGGGGAAGGGAGGGAGAAGGAGAGGAAGAAAAAAATCAATTTGTTGCCTCACCCTTCCCCCATCAGAGACCTGGTCTGAAACCCAAGCATGTGCCCTGACTGGGAAAATCAGCAACATTTTGGTTTGGAGGACGATTTGTTTTTTCTTTAACTGATTATTCTTGACTAATCCAAGGAATGAGGCTAAAAAGTTTCCCCCTCTAAAAAAGGGGATATGGCCAAGGGAACTGGCAGTTACCATATAGTGTGAAGGGTCCATCAGTCAGTTTGTCAGTCAGTCAGTCAATAAAAATTGGTGAGGCTTACCAGAGTCCCAGACACTGTGCTAAGAAATATGGAGGCTCAGTGTCTAGAGGAAAGAGATGTCAAACAAATGAGGAATGCACAAACAATTCAAGGCAATGTATGTTCATAAGAGACTTTCAGAGTGCTGGTGTCTCTGAGCACCTAAAGGATGCCTGGGCACCCTGGCAGCGGATCCAGCAAAAGGGACCCAAGAAAAGGCTGACAACCCAGGGGCCCACTGAGGTTTTTGGTCCTATTGTGAAAGCAACTAGAGTATCATTAGGTGAGAACCAATTCAGAAGTTGCAGAGTAAGGACAAAGAAAGATCTAAAATCAATAACCTGAACTTTTACCTTAAGAAACTAGAAAAAGAAGAGTGACCTAAACCCAAATCAAGCAGAATGAAAGAAATTATGAAGGTTGGAGTGGAAATAAATGAAATAGAGAATAAAAAAACAATTGATAAGATCAATAAAACCAAAAGTTGGTTCCTTGAAATGACCAGGAAAATTGATAAACCTTTAAATAGACTGACCAAGAAAAAAGAGAGAAGATTCAAATTATTAGAATCAGAAATGAGAGAGTAGGCATTGCTATCTAATCTCTATTTTTAGAAAGGAATGTAAGAGAATGCTATGAATATGCCAAAAAATTAGATGACCTAAATGAAATCATAATTAATTGAATAAATAGACATTGTATTGCCTACTTTAAATAGGTAGTTATTATGGTATGTGAATTACATCTCAATAAAGCTCCTATAAAAATTAAAACCAAAACCCAAACCTTTGTTTGAAAAGAAAGAATTAGAAAATCTAAATAGACCTATAACAAGTAAAGAGATAGAATTAGTAAGTAAAGCACTTCACACAAACACACAAATTAGCTGAGGTCCAGATTGATTCACTGGTGAATTCTACCAATCACTTAAAAAACAATGAATATCAGTCCTTCTCAAAATCTTCAAAAGAAAAAGAAGAGAGAACACTTCCCAGCTCATTCTATGAGAATAGCATTACCTTGATACAAAAACTAGACAGAAACAAGAAAAAACCAAATAACCTCAGGCCAATGTCATTTATGAATACAGAAACAAAAATCTTCAAACCAATGCTACTACATACAAAGTGATTGTACACAATGACTGTATTAGCTGGCTAGAACTGCCATAACAAAGTATCACAGACTGGGTGACTTAAACAACAGAAATTGATTTCCTCACAATTTTGGAGACTAGATGTCCAAGATCAAAGTGTCAGCAAGGTTAATTTTTTTTCTGAGACCTCTCTCCTTGGCTTGTAGATGGTCGTTTTCCCCTGTGTTTTCACATGGTTTTTCCATTATTTATATCTGTGTCAAAATTTCCTCTTACATGCACAGTGGTGATATTGAATCAAGACCCATCCTAATGACATCATTTTAACTTAAATGCCTCTTTACAGATCCTATCTCC